AGACTGGATGAGAAAGCCTGCCTTGGTGTGAGCCACATGGACAAAGAAACCCCTGGTTGCTGTTAGCCTGACTGCTAAGTTGCTGCTGGATGAGACTCAACCTTCCAAACAGACGTGGACAAAAGGTTTGCAGGTTTGGCACAATTAGGGACAGAACAAACAATATGTCTTTTTGATAATTTTGATCATTTCATGTGTTTCCTGATGGGTAAAGGTAAAGCTAAAAGGATGGACTGCATGCTAAGCTATGCTACCGTAATATGTTTTGAGCTGTTGCTGAAGCTTGGAAAAGCTTTATTCACTAAGGTTTTAAACACTGATATAACATTTGTGTTCATGTGTTCCTCAGATGCTCATTACATTTCCATTACCAAGTATGACCAAGAGACATTTAGTGGAATCCTGATGTTTATTCCCTGCTAGCTATTTCAAAGAGGGTAAAGAATCATTTCACAAAAGGTTATTGGTTCCTGATTAAGCAAATCATTAAATAAAACAATATTTGGCCAAATAAAGTTTTATTCACCTCATGGACTTGCAAGTGAATTGGTCTAAAAACATTCAAATTTCTCTAAATTAGTGAAAAGCTAATTTGATCACATCCCAAATTCTTCCAGATAAACTTTGGTTTTCAAACACAAAATCCACCTTAATCTGAACTATGGTTTTCAACGATGATTCCCCTTCCTCTTCGTAGATATTATTTTATTTTAGTTGAGTTTCACTAGTTTTAGTGAAGGGCTTTCTACGGAAATACTTTTGACTTGGAGCTGAATTATTTTTTAAATAAACTCTTAGATTTTGAATAGAAATTGTGATGAATGTATTCCATGTACCGGTATGTGCAGAATTAACTGTTTGACCATGATTAGAGCTCGAATCACTCTTTCATCTATTGTTCTAACACACAGCTAGTAGGGCATGTGTTCATAAACAATATATAACAGCCGATATAATATCTGATTACTTATTGAATACATCATGTGATGCTAACATACAGCCACTCCCTAATGTGACTGTGGGTGGTTTTTGGCCTGGAGTTGATGTCATCAGACGGTGCCCAACCTTCTGATGACATCAAAAAAATAAGATATTTACCACTCCTACCGGGGAGGGCAATAAACATCTTAAAGTATGAGAAATATAAATTCCCAGCGGGCTGGGACTAGAATATGACAGTTATGTTATTCACAACATAAATATGGAATCCAACCTGGATGGGAATTGGCATTGAATATAAATCCACAACACTACCTTTGGGCCTATTTTGTAATTTTTAGTGATTGATTATTTTTATGAAATATCTTTTGATTTATTGTGAACTGATTGGTGAACATCATGTGCTGCAAGAAAGTAATCCCCACATAGTACTACTGCCATCAGGTCTTCAAAGGAAGCAATAGAAAAATGGGGATGGGTCTAAGGTCTTAGTGTTCTTTCATTTTATATAAAATAAAACTATTTTTAAAAAGACAGAAATAAAAAGTCCTGCACAAAATCGGAGGATTTGGAGCGTCTCTGAGCTTTCAAGAACTATCCTCAAACTTTCAACTTTAGAAAGGATTTAATACCAAAAGGTGTTGGAGATGAACTTTAAATGATAGGGAACTATTCAATGAGTGGATTATTTTATTTCTTCTTAAGCGATGCATGATATTTTGCAGCCCTCTGGTGGTTTAATAACAGCAGATATAATGACTGAATCATTTAGAATAACACTTGTAAATTAGGATGAATTCATCTTAACTATAACCAAAATCACTGCCAATAGATCTGTTCACTCCATCTGTTTGTGTATTTTCTACAGAGCACATATCTACATCCTAGCTCTAAAATAAAAATAAAAATACTGCTAAGAATTCCAGATGAAGAACATTTCACATCAGAGAGATGAAAACTCAAAGGACTAAAACAGAGCTTAGCCTTCATGTTATCTACTGAAACTATCGCTCTTTCTGCAGCCTCATTGAACCACAGACCACTAACAAGTCTGTAGATGTTATTTTTGTACTTCCTCTGACAACTGAAAGCTCATTGTTTTACATTGCGTACCAGCCTCCAGTAGTGCAGAGTTTGTCAGCACAATCCTAGATCTGGCATAATTATGGACAATGTTTCCAGCTCACTAATCGACAGTGGCCAAGCTAAAAAAAAATTGATTGATTCCAGCCACAATCCTGCTTCTTAGATTATGTAAAAATAAACTTACAGGGTTAAAAATTTTTCTTTTATGTTTTCAACATAAAACCAATTTATGGGATCATATTCAGCATCACCTGTACGCCTTGTCCGAGTCGAAATCCATTCCTCCTCCGAAACCGAGCAACCCCAACATAGGATCCGCCTGCAGACACACACAGGTAAGCCTTTGCAGCTGCAGCAGGTTAGAACATTAGAAAGTGTGAATTAAGCTCAGGCTAACCTGTCCTGTTTTCTCCATATTAATGAGCAGCCTGGGGCAACTTTTTGAAACCCTAAAAGACAAAAATAGAAGATAAAAAAAAAAAAACTGAAACAGTGAGGTCACTTCCTGACTTCTAGGAAAGCCAAAGCAGAATGGTTTTGCTGATGACTAATTACATTACAAAATTAGATCAGAACTGTTGCCATGCATGAAATTCCACCAGACTTTATGTGGAGTACCTGCTCACTAAACTTGCAAACGGCTGGACCTGCAGAGATGTGCCCATGACTATGAGAAGGTCACATCGAGGAAAATCCTGACAGAGAAACAAAGGTGGGACATTTAGTTGTTTTTGCAAAGAGGTTAAGTTCTGCACCAACAGCCATTATTTGCTCACCATTTTCATGGAAGTGAAGAAACGGGCTGGAAGGTTCTCTCCAAAGAAAACAATATCTGAGGGAAGCAGGATGCAGAGAAGATATTTTGAGAGAATATATGAAATCTTGCTCAAACTAAAAGCAAAATAAACAACGTAGAGAGACTCTGTCCAGAGCTAAAATAAGTAACACTAAATGTAGAATGACCTTAAAATCAATAAATAAAAGGATCAACTAACCTGGTTTGACCAAACTGCTGCACTTATCACACTTTGGAATTGCGTCAGAGAAGATTTTTTCTGCAGCACATAAGAGACGAAATTAGAATCTAAATTCTCCAAACGTCATCGGAGCTGGAAACATTTCCCAGCACCTTTCATCCAGTCCAGGTTGTACTCTTTTTTGCAGCAGAAGCTGACACAATGGGAGGTGTAGAAAGTTCCATGTGCCTCAATCAGGTCCTCTCCTTCCAACCCGGCCACTCGCTCCAGGGTGTCAATGTTCTGCACAAACGCACACATCAACATGAGTAGAGGAACTTAATATAAGCTGTATTTCTATGCGTTCCAGGATTTGCTACTGACCCACCTGTGTATAGCATCGTCTCAGAAGCCCCTTGTCCTTCAGCATCTTTATGAAGTAGTGGCAGATTGTTGGCTGAAATCAAGCATGGCAGTATATAACCGAGTCTTTAGTACATGAGACAGCAAATAACTGCTTCTCCTAATTAGCAGGCTGTTTTTTCTACCTTAAACTGTCCTGGGTACAGCTCCTTGGCCAAAGCGAAGAATGGTTCAGGATGTTTCTGTTATTAAATTAATGCAAAATATGTACTTGTTTATGAGTCCCATTTTAACAGTTATACATTTTTTGGAGAGAAACAAACAGACCTTAAAGTAATCAATCTGGAAGATGGCCTCAGGGTAAGGCAGGTTGTATTTTTGGAGGTTTGCATAGAGGCCTGTATCTGGAGAGCGGAAATCTGGGATTCCAGCAGCTGTGCAATCAGAAGTTTTATTATTCAAACACAAGAAATGTTGTATAATAATCAACAGGTGGTTCATTATCTCGAAATCCATGCATTCATACTTACATGTTGATATTCCTGCCCCAACCATGCAGATGATGTTTTTACCTGTTTGCATACAGAGACACTCATGAGCTTATAGGAAATTATTAAGCATATGCATTTCTTGAAACTAGGGAAACACCAACTGATCGGCCTCCTTTTTTTCTTAATTTTGGGAGATCGGCCGCTACTTTGATGTAAAACAGATCTTTTCTGCCAATCTTATCTCGCCCTGCAAAGGTCTGAAAATCACCCACTGTCAATGTCCTAAACTTTTATTTATATTTGAGGGCAGTATGGCAGAAGCTGTTATTGTTTCCTGGGTAATGATTAATGTCTAAGTAAGATAAGATTGAAATACTGAAGGCGTCTTGTGATCCTATAACATGAAGAAAAAAAAATCAGTTTTGGTCAAAATCTGAATGTCAGTCATTTTTAAGATTGGGACCCAACGATCACCCAAAAGCCTGCAATAGGTGCACCCCTAATTGATATCCCTGGTAATTAGCCTTAGAAATATCCTCTTTATACTTTTCATGTTTTATTACCGGAGCATAATCTCATAATGAGGGTGATCATCTCGTTTTATGTGGTTAGAAAGGGTCACTCCAAGAAACTGGTGTCTTAAAATAAAATGGCATGTTTTTGTTTAACTTTATACTTGATGGTTTAAAGCTAATGAAAGTTTCTCAGACATTTTACATAAGGTTCCTTTGTTTCCTGTGTGCTTATAATATAATAATAATAATCTTCTTTTTGTTTTTCTATCTAATTATTTTATTGCGTTTAACTAGGAAAGTCACAATTGAAACTAACAATCTTTTTTTCAAGGGAGACCTGGCAAAACAAAACAAAAATAAATAAAGTTAAAAGACATGACATGTAAAATGTTTAGACATTAAAAATTATACCAACTAACATCCCAAGGCGTAAGAAGCCACTGAGATTTAACAAGAGAAATGTTCCCTTAAACGTATTGTTATGCTTGGAGGCAGATTGGGAAGGATAAGCAAGATTCCGTGGATCTTTTTATGACAAGATATTTTTTTTTTGCTTTGGGAATAATTAGATCCTTAATTAAGATTGATTTTGTTCTCAGTGTGATACTCTGTATGTGCAAATAACCAGTAAATAGTAGACCAGAATAAAAAAACAAAAACAAAAGAAAAACTCACATTTGCCACTTTTTACGTAGCGTGCAACTCCCTCCAGAGACAGCTCATCCAGAACTTTCTCTGCAGAGCCCAGTCCCAGGGCACTGGAGAAAAGGCTGCGCAGGAAGTCCACTGGCAATGACAGGAGTGAAAATGGCAAAAATGTATCTGTGTTTTCATTTAAAACAATGCAGAATCAGTAGCAAATGCAGTATGCTTTCGCAACAATATATTTTGCTTATTGTATAAAGAAGGCAGGTTTAATAGTTTATTTTTTCTTCTCTAAGTTTTTCTTTTACATTTTTACATTTGTAAACTTTTGTTTAAACATAGCTTGAGATTATTTTTAATGTGTGACTATCAATATGTTGGAATTAAAAGTAAAAAATGTTTTTAAAATGACCTAATAAAGAACACATTAACAGTGCAGTAATGAATCATTTCATTACTACTATATAAGCCATTGAACTGTGAGCTTTGTATTTAGACGTACTCTCTGTGTCTCCAGCGGCTTCGTCTTCACTGCTGTCGTCTGATTGCACCTGCAGAGGAACGGATATTTACTTGTATTTCCAACTGTCCTATATAAAATTGCTCTATCAGTCAAAAACAAAGCAGCTCTTTGTTGTGATGCTAACCATCGCCTGGGTCTGATTTCATCTGACAGCTAGCTAATAAATAAACAAATAAAAACATGCTAAAGATAATACAACTAATCCAACCTCGGGTTCAGCTGTCACCTCCTCCTCTTGTTCTTCTTTTTTTGGTACCTCTGAAAATCAAATCATCATCATTAGAAACTCGACAGACCTGTTTTAAAGGGACTGACCCGATATAAACAGCAGCTAATACGTCTTTTTTCTGGACCAGACGGTCCTCCTACCTGATGGCTCAGACATTTAATCGTCTGTTATGACTCCAAAACTATGCAGTTAAGGTTGACATTCAATAAAAACCTCTAAAATTGAGGAAATGATACAGGAATAAGGAGTTTAGCTAATATACTGACGCTCAGTCTTGTTGTTGTCCGTCATAAAACTACGTCCGTCTACACTTCCGTTCTAACAGCCAACATTAGTTCCGGCTGCAGCTCACCTTTTTAATTTACTTAAACCAAGAGTTTTAGAGAATTACAAGCTCAATTCAATATATTACTGAATGTTCATCAAACATGGTATTTTAATGTATATTTATTGAAGGGATGTATACTTACAGATGCGACAGTCACTTTGGTCTTTGGGTTTTCTTGGTGCGTTCATCTGTTCGGTGTCGGTTTCATTTGATACAGAGAAAAGATTAACAGGATTATGGGCTTTAGCTTCTTAGAATATAAATACATACAGCCACACACGTGGACAATTTGCATCTCTGGTGACATACATAAAATGCCTTTAAATAAATAAATATATTAATCATGAGTACAATCTCACCATAAAACAATGAAAAAAAAAAAACAATAATTTACCATGTAACAGTTGGTAGACAATCCATCAAAATAAATGAACAATCTGTTACAAATGTATAACACAAGTCACATTTCCCATGGCCACTATCTACATGAAAACCAGTCGGAATGAAGCCAAGAAAAAAAAAATCTGTCTTACAACCAAGATCTTAACATGTGGAGTTTGCTAAACCTTTGTGGGAAATTAATTGAAACTATGTGTTTGGGTTGGAGGAGGAAAAAACTTGAGTATTACATTCACAAACAATTAAAAGTGGGTTTAGTGTGAAACAAAACTTATTATCCAGTCTTGAGTGCGGTGCAGAATCTGTTTCCCTTTTCATCTTTGCACCTACCTAGATGCTTTACATGCGAATTACATTGTTTAAAAAAAAGTTACTATATAGACTGTTTTATTATAACTAAAAATAAGTAATTTATTCTTTCAAAAAGAGGACTGAATGCAAAAGGAAAAATATTATAAATTGTCACTAGAGATAAATAAATAAAATCAATGTTCTTAAATGCATATCTGTTCCAGGGCCTGCAACCTTATTAGACTAGATTTAGACAAATTTTATTGTCGAAATTTCAATGCATACAGCTTTTCATGAGCACCTTACAAAAGTGAAATGAGTAATCCGATTGTAAACAGTAAGGGAAAAGGAAAACCAATTTAAAGACAACCTAAAGATAAAACGGCATAAGAGTAACGCTGGACTGGGAGTAACCTAAGTAGATTGTGTAAAGACATGAAAGAATCAAAACTCAGATTTTATCTGTAACTTCATGTTGTTGAGATTAAACGTTAAATATCTTAAGACTTTTTTTTTATTACTTTATTGGCGATGAGAACAAATTTGTTCCACATATGATGTATTGCCAGATGGTTTTTAATGTCTGTCAAATCTAAATGAAAACACTCAATAAGATTTTCAGTTGGTTGAACAATAAACTCTTTATTATGTACAACAATTTTATATTCAGAGAACAGAAATGTGGAGCTTGAAAACAAAGTCTTGGCTGAATAAAGAACAGACACAGATACTCCAAATAGTCCCCAACATATTTAGTCCACCTATGTTGAACATTTGTCCTTTACATATTTCTCTGCATTTTTGTTACCTTATGTGATGAACCTGCAATGAAATCAAGGGTTTATTTCTAATTAAGCAAGAAAAACTGAATATGAAAGAGCAAGATCCAAATTCTCCTTTATGTAGCGACTGCAGTGTCTTCATTGGTCCACTACCTCCGGTTGCACGTGATCCTATGACGTCTCCTCCACTGCCTGCCTCAGACTCAGGTCATAGCCTTCTGCTGTGATCTGGCAATGTGGTAACATCTCCTCCAACAGGATGATCACCAACCCTGGACTTGAAATCTTCGGGAGGTAGGACACATTTAGACGCTTCAGCCCTCTTCAGTAGAAGAAAAAAAAAAAAAAAGAACACAAAGACAGAGACGGATCCTTAGAACAAGAACAACCAAGACCAAGATGAAGAGCAAGAGCAGCTAGAGATACTTAACCTTTATATCCATATCAATTGGAATAATGCCAAAACCTAAACATATATAGTATTAGTAACAGACATAAACTATAGGTAAAGGGTAACAGTTGAAGTACGTATATTTAGGAGTTGTAGTATTATCACTTTATTCATTCTATATAAAAAAAGAAAAAAAGGGGGGCGGCCAACTTCCAAAAATGGAAGAACCCGGGAAAGAACAACAAGCAATTGGGGTAAGGGGCCTATGGGTTTTTACCAGCGCAAGAGAGGTGACAGAGCAAGGAATGTTTGAACTTTGTAATGTTGCAAAAAATATAGGAAATAAATCAACTAAACATCTACAAGTTTGGACTTCAACTTCTTTTGCCTGCGTCAAGAAAACGTGAACCCAGTGCCTATAGTGGCTTATTGGAACTTTATTGGATGTTTGGTTTGACAAACAATCGCCACTACGGGAGCTATTTCTGGGATCTGGGCAGATTTTGTTTATTGTCGTAGAACCCTACCTATTGTGGGACTGCAGAATCTGGAGCAGTACAATCTGTTTTTGTTTTATCTTTTTAACACAGAAAAATACAGTTTTTTCTAAATGTTTCCCAATCCTGTTTTTATTGCTGATGTTAAAGACATAGATACAACATTTTTCATTTGAATTCAAATTTAATTGCTGGATGCCTTTCTATTATCAAAGAAAACATCCACGACCCTTGTTTTTTTAATTTACAAAGATCTAAACATTCCTTTCCTACAAGCAAAACATTTATTGTCAAAAGGGTAAAAAATAAAATAAAATCTAAACATAATATTTTGTGATGTTAGAGTTCTGGAAATGTTTTGTTTTTAGCAGTGAGTACTTTAAGTTTGCAATTTTGCCATTTCTGGCTCATATGAAACCCCCCAAAGAAGAACAGTTTGTGCAGCGCTTCTTTAGAACCTAGGCCACACTGTGAGAATAGAGCGTACCTGAGATTCCTGAGAGCAGCCAGGCCACCTGCAGTTATCTGCGTACAGTGAGAGATGTCTAGCTCCTCCAGAGAGTCCTGGAACATGTGGAGTCCTGCCAGGAACCAGTCGTCCACCTCAGGACAGCCTTGTAGTTTTAAGGTTCGCAGGTGCTGTTGTCTCTCTGAAGGTGTTGATAAATCAGGTTAAAAAACTGGACCAACTTGCTCAGGGTTAAACTTATTTAAAAGCACAAAAAATGTTCTACGTCAGCACCAATTACCCAGGTTAGACAGTCCTGTGTAGTTGATGACGGTGTGACTCATGTCTACTTCTTCAACAAGACTGTCCTTGTAGTTCAGGAACTCCCAGCTGAACTTTCCCCTCGAGTTGGCACGGAACCACTCAGACTGGCCCACAAACCTGCAGGAGTAATGGTGTAATCAATCAATGGTGGAACCAGGTGTCAGCAGGTGTTTTGTATCTTTTACCAGATCAGCAGATCTCCCCTCTTTAGCAGAAAAGCTCCCTTGTAGCTTTCTCTGGGGCTTCGCTCGTGAATTTCTATCATTCCTACAACTGTCAGTTAAAGCTGTGTGGAGGGGGGGTATTGTTTTTCTGGGCTGCGTGTAAAAACAGGCTTAGATCAGAAGCAAGCAGACATCCGCTAAACATCTAATGACCAAGCTCCGTCTTAAATTAGAGATCTGATTGTATCTTATGTTTATAATAGAGAACTTCTCTCTCGTTCTGCAGGTTTACTAGTGTTTCCTAGAATATCTGACAGTAGAATTGGAGGCAGATCTTTTAGTTCTCAGGCTCCTCTCCTGGGGAACCAAATACCAGTTTAAGTTTGTGAGGCAGACACCCTGTCTACTTTTAAGGCTAGGCTTAAAACTTTCCTTTTTGATAAAACTTTTAGTTAGAGTGGCTCAGATTATCCTGCTCTATATCTATGGGTATGCTGCTATATTCTTAGACTTCTGGAGGACATTTCATCTTTCTATCTCTATTCTCCCACTCTGCAGAATTTGTTAGATCAATCTCTAACATTCTGCTCTCTCTGCTTTTTCTCATAGTAGCTTCATCTGGTCTGTTCCTGTTTGTCTCTGACTCCATCCTGGAGAGAAATATCAGCGGTGCTGCCATCAACACCTTTGTTTATAGATGTTGGAGCTTGGCTTGTTTTTCAGTGTAGTCCTGTTTCTCTGACTGTAACTGGCAGGATGTGCTCTCTTCATCCTCTGATCATGGGAGCTGGCTTGGAGCTTGCCTGCCTGGCTGTGTGTTTCCTGTACCGGGCAACGCCTGTGGAGCTGGTTGACAGTTCCCTTTGTATCTCTGCTTCTTTCTGTATGTCTGCTTCTGTCTCCTTCATCCGCAGTCGGCCTCGGCAGATAGCCGCTCACACTAAGACTAGTTTCTGTCCTGTTAAAAAAGTTTTCCTCTTCACTGTCGCTACAAGCATGCTGGGTGTGAGGGATTGCACTGGAGTCAATGAGTCGATGCAATCAGCTGGTTTTCCTCAGATAGAAAAGTTTGAGCCAATCTGATCTGAACTGTTTCTGTAAAGTGGCTTGAAATGACAAGTGTTGAGAATTGGCACTATAGAAATAAACTGAACTGAATTTTTGTCTCAGTTTTGTTTTATTTAAAATGACGGTATTGTGTAGCCCCAGGTTAGATCTGACTATTATAGAACCTGGTAAAGACTGGATCAAGTTCATTAATCTCTAACTTAACTCTAGGAATGAATGACATTTCATGTCGTTTCTTTCTACTCTAAAGAAAATAAAGAGAAGACGCATAGCAAATGTTAGTAATGTAGATTATAGAGTTTTAAAAGCATTGGTCCCCACTGAGGTAACAGTAACAGACGAAGATTATAAACATCAAGTGTAATTTATATGTTTCACAATCTTTTAACGTGTGTTACTTTCACTTCAGGCCTTCAACAGCTTCAAATATTGATACAGTAGCTTCTGAAAACACTTCAGTGTTTTTACCCTTTATTTATTCTGTAAGGAATAGAATCTTCTTTTATAAGTGATATCATATCTCATCTCATATTGTGTTGTGGATACAAGAGCATAAGAAAACACATCAATTACAAAAAGCCTAATCTTATCCTGTTAAACTGAGTCAGA